GGGGGGGGGAGATTCGGGACTTTCACAATAGAAAGCTTAATACTGGGTGACCACTAGATACGGTATCGCTTGATACAGGTTCGACTGTAACAAGTGCATTCCTCTCCCCGACCTGTCTCAAATCTTTCCGCCCACCGCGGGCGGAAAAACGCACAGGCTAGCCGGCTTGCAGCGCTTATCATGATGGCTCGCTCGTTGGCTATCAAGTCAGAGGCGGGGTAACATCCTCGATGTCTTCATAACCCTCAGGGCAAGATTATCGTAAAAAGAGCATTTTCCATCACTCAACAACGACAGGTTATCAGACACCGTGATAGCAAAAAATCCGATTATCAGTACCGGCCGCACTCGCTGTACTTTCGGTGATTTCAAAACGATAACCTTTGAGTTAAATGTCATTTTATGACTATTGAAAAGCTTCTCTCTCAGGCGGAGATGCAGCTTTGAAAATACAATAAAAAGGATAAGTATAAGAGCTCTTGTCTCAGGAGATCATTCCTTCTCATCGTTTAAATCTTGACCCTAGTTCTTCTTTTTATTATGTTATCAAAGTTGCGTCACTATTGAGATATTTTTCAGGTATTCACAGTGCATCACTTTCATATTTGACCTCACGTGCAGACAACAGTCACAAAGGCCTTTATTTGGGGAGGAAATCTAACAAATTCTATTAACTCTTTTGTCAACACACGCCTACACGCTCTCCAGAGAAACTAGAAAATTATCGAGGTGGGAGATATTTGCCGTGAGGAATTTTGAGTAACCAGTAATTTCATTTTCATCAAATAGCTCAAGTTTCTTATAGGCTGGAACGTACTCCAGACAATGTAATTCTATTCAAAACCAGGTTCACTGAAATTGTGACGGGAATTAAACTGACCACGAATGAAAACCGCTTTCCCTCGAATTTTTCCTAGCTCATATCAACTCTTTAACTCCCATGAGTGACCAAGACAGAATTTCTCCTTACAACATCAATACCATATATAGCAGAACAGGGATGGAAATAAAAAAAAACAAAATGTAAATTTGTGGATTGTTAGTCGATCCAATACCGAATTCTCCGCATTAACCTCATGAGAATTGAATTGCGGACAATAAGGAGAATTTACTAAATGAGACAATGGCATCTCAGCAGCAATTCTCCTTACTGTCTTCCATTCAATTCACATAATGTTAGTTGAGAGAATTTGGTACTGGATCAACTAATAATTCCCTAGTTTATCCTTTTCTTTATTCTCATCACTTGTCTGCTTGATATTGTATTGATTTTGTAAGGAGAAACTCTGTCTTGGTCAATCGGCATGGGAGCCAGTTAGAGGGTAAATCGTCTTAAGTTTTCTCTTTATCCATTCAGGCCATTTAAGGTTCTGTACTTTTCATAATATGTTGGCGTCAAACGTTATTTTGCAGTCTTCAACAGCCCCACTAAAAGTATAATTGGCACTTTTACATTTGTCAGTTTTAATCACTGCGGGAATCTTTAATTCTCTCTGAATATAATTTACAGGAGAAAGAACAACATAGATCTATCTTTAACCTTTGGGTCTACTAAAATAGAACAACGTCTGTAATCAATTTGGAAAACAGAGAACAACTTTCCTTCTTGCAGCTTAAAAGGTCAAAAAAGTCTCACGCACGTTCAAGTGGTTCCTTTTTCTCTGATACTGAGTCCTCGAGGTGCTATGTAGTCACGTATGATATAGCCGTCCAGTAATCATCTTCAGAGATTTTACCCAATCTTTATCTCCGGATGATAAGAAAAGAATCGATTAAAAAAGAAGTGCTACTTCGTCCGTTTGGCTAAGTAAAACAACTGTACCGCATATGTGACTTCCCTATCTGCTTTGACGAAGGGATAACTCTCGAAACGTCAGCTATAGAAAATCTTTACGATGGCCAATTCACATCATCATCTCAGTTGATATAACCAAATTATCTTTCCCATCTGCAGATTAGGGGTGTAAAAACAAAGCATCAGTCTTCACCATTTGGTGTTTCATACCCATCAGTTACTTATCTAAGAAGTACTATGATCAGTTTGTTCATTGGCCAAAATCTCCTTCAGTGACTCGTCTTAATTTTTTTTGATGTGAACAGAGAAGATTCGCTCAGGGATCTATCACCTATCTCAGGGCTGAACGAGAGGAAATCATTGAGCTGAGTGGGGCGCTAAAAAACAGACAGGAGTTCTAGAAATTACGTTTACAACAAATTTGCATGCAGCCTAGGTTTCCAGCCGATAGCCTCTGTGACCTAGCATGAGAAGCTGACTATACCCTTTCAGCAACCGTGGGGATGGAGAAAAGAAAAGAAGAAATCATTGGTGGTCCACGACATTACCAACAACGTTAAAAAAAAACAATGTATCTCAAGAAGTCAGAAAAATTTGCGGAGAATAATTACTTCATTCCACAGGTGCACCCGATTGGAAATTGATCCTGATTAAAAATACTCAACGTATTCAACATTCTTGGGAATAAAATAAGAGAGAGAAAATTTTGACTCAAACGTCGAAAAAAGAAAGATTTGTCCCTTTGCGTGGGACAAATTTGAATCCCCCACAGGGTTTCCGATCCCTGATCTCATTATTTTACCTTATTCATACACACAAAACTTTCGTTTTGTTAGCAGCGAATCGATGCCCTTGCAATCGAATATCGCGTTTCTGCGCTCCACCTCTAAGCTAGAGAGAGCTCGATTACTGTAGGATAGGTCATTCATTATCGGGTTCACACGTTCCAAGTGTCCTGTTCAATGCAACAATCGGCAATTGGCATTCTTATTCCGCACTCAAGAGGTTATCGATCTATGTTTTATCTCGCAATTGTAATTTCATCAATCGAAAGAATCTGGTGCAAGTGGTACTATTCTGTTCGTATCTTTGGGCTTCTTTAAAACTCGATCGAAAAAATGTCGCAAAAATGACAAGCATATGAATTTTTACGATGACCGCAGAAGCTCATTCTAGTTCTTTGTTGAAATCTCGACTCATATTTCACTTGCATGAAATAGTGGACAAATGTGCAGAGATTGAAAATTTAAGTCTTTTAAGTGGACATAGACAATCATTTGTGTTATTTACCTTTGGCTACTGTGTAGGCAACGGACTCGAACGGAATATTTTGATTAATAAATAAGGGGAAATATGCGGTGATACACTTTGAAATTCTGTAGTCAGGAAACAGCTCAGGTTTCTGATGATGTTAATTATAAGTTGTTCAGACGGTGTTAACTTTTCACACCCAGGTTCACGATGGAGATGACGCAGCTTATGTTATTTCGTGAGGTTATCGAAGAGAGCAATTTAAGTGTAATGGAGAGTTTCCAATCATTTGAATACTTTCTGCTGTCTAACTTAACCCTGGTAATGTTTGTTCTTTCTCTCCTCAGTGATAAGTTCCTTCACGTTTGTTTTCCAGTCAAGATAAGCATTCACTTTTTTTTGTATAGTTGGCAAGAAATATCCGTTTCCTGCAGTAATATTTCGAGTTATTAGTGCGTGGGTGATACCATCAATGGAATTCGCTTCTTCTTGTTTGAAAATGATTGCCGTTTTATCGAGGGAGTTGTGTTCTCATTTTAAATCCCAGTTTAAATTGTTTTTCCTTTATGGCCTGAGCCATGTGAGCAACTGATCGAATTAAAATGAAGCCATTTCTTTCTTTTC